AGAACATATTCCGGTAAGTATGGGTATTCGTCAGACCAGAGCTTTTAATAAACGTGCTAAACCCACCATGCGATAAATCAATTTACATGATAATTCAAAAATAAGATCAATAAGAGCCATGATGAGTGACCAGCACCATGTTGGCCGCACCCGGACATGTTCTGGGTATCCCCGGGGAAGTGGTAAATCCCTTTTAAATCAAAATCCATCAAGCGATACATCAAATCACATGAGAATTCAAAGCCATATCCATTGGCGGTCAAACTGAGTATCGTAAGAACTATATTGGCCACATCCCGACATGTTCCAGATACCCTAGGGGAAGTGGACAAAATCTGTCTTGAGCCAAATCTAATGATGCGATGTGTTGTCAAACATTTCTAAAATATTTTTTCTAATGAAATTGACTTACGGTTACTTTTCGCTGTGGGACAATTTGACTTGGTATTGTTTTTAATTTTTCTTGAACAAACCACTTTTTTTCAATAGCACATATCAAAAAACATAGAAAGATAAACTGAATAATGATGCTAACTCAAAATTGATAAAAATGTCTACTCACCCACGCAAACAAATACCATCATCAGTCGGGGAATCTTTCGCCTACTAGCTGGTGCAGTTAGTTTCTGTGAGTGATCTAGCAGTTGCCACAAATCGTCGATTGAAGTGATTGTTTACAAAATCAGATACGTCGATTTGAATAGTTACGCTTGAATTGTCCGTGAAAAATATTGTGCACTTACAATCAAAATTACCGTGTCTCGTGTGGTAAGAACCTTCAAGGAGCGTCTGAGTGCCCAAAGAAATAAAGAGGGTGGTCGTAAAAGTGGTCCAATGGATAGTAAAATAGCCAGAAGAGTGGTGCAACACTCCAAGAACCGTCCAAACACGTCAATTCGAGATGTCGCTAAAAAGTCCAAGGTGTCAGTCGGTTTTGCGCAGAAAGCCACAAGGTACAAAAAGCCCCAACTGGAATGAAAAGCAAAACATCACTACACAGCAAAAACTAAATTTTAATATTACATCCAAGAGGATGCACTTCAATGTCGAAAATATAATGTAATTTTTATAGCCACAACAACAAACAAATGCAGTGAAAGCAGCGTTATGTCAATTCATGCACTATATTAATGATAATTTTGTACTTTTTGGCAAGTAATATTACACCATATTTATGACACGATTGAAGTTCATCCACTTTGATGTGATATTAAATTAATTTTTTGCTGTGTACGAAAACCTGCACCCGGAAACTTTACACGAAGTTGCTCACCAAATCGTGTTGCATCGTGATGGATGACGAAACTCACATCAAATCCTTCAACTTCCTGGGTAAGAATATTTCGTTGCCAAGTCTAATTTCGATGTTCCGGAGGATGTTCGGAAGAAGAAATTAACGAAATTTGCAAAGAAGTTCCTTATCTGGCAGGTGATTTGCGGATGTGGTTAAATAAGCGTTCATCATTTCCGGAACAATCAACGGTGCGATTTACACGGAAGAGTGCCTTAAGAATCGTCTCTTGCCATTCATGAGGAAGCACAACTCTGTTTTAGCCTGATCTAGCATCCTGCCACTACGCTCGAAACGTGTTGGAGTGGTACCGAGCCAACGGAGTCAATTCGTGCCAAAAGATATGAATCCACCAAATTCACCGGAAATTCGCCCAATTGAAAACATCTGGGCAATTATGAAGACGGAACTTTACAAACATCCCAAAACTATTTAAACAGAGCTGGAGTTGAGGAAAATTTGTGTTAAATTCACAAAAACACTGGAAACATCAGTTGTACAAAATTTGATGGGTGGAGTGAAAAGGAAGGTGTGGGCATTCGGATGCGAGACGAAATTGAATAAAACAAATTTTGTAAATCATAACTCATTAATAGTTTTTCATTTTCTGAAAATTTCAAGAAAATCCAGTTATCGGTTTAATTTTGGTGAGGAAATATGTGTATGCCATTTTTAAAGAATACACGCTTTATTTCAAGAAAATGGCTGATTGGTATATTAAAAAATAGCTATTATTCTCAATAGAAAAGTTCAAAACTAAAAAAAAAACTTCAAAGTATACCAAAATCGTAGAACACATACTTTAGTATGTATGTATGTTTTTTCTTCTCGCAGTGTTTATGTTATTTATGCATAGGAAACGATTCTCTGGACTAAAAGCTATGTTTTCTGCATAAAAAAACGATTGTTTGTGAAAAAAAGAAGTTCATAATTTATATTAATAGTTAATGTTCTACGACTTGATCAATTTTGTAGTGTCCATTGTGATCTTTTCAGAGAATTTTGCATTTTTAATAAGTTTCCAAATAAAAAAATGAAATCTTAAAAATGCACATTTTAGGTTAATTAAATTTGCATCACGAGCATTTATGTACCTGTCGACCAATGACAGTATTTGATAGTAAGCTCCCATCTAGAGTTGTGTACTTTAACATTTTGTTTGTATTACTTCTGCGTGAAGTTAACGATTTACGAAATTGAAGATGCTAAGCTTCAAATAATGATCAACCCGATTCTTACCTTCCTCAAAGTTTTCCTTGCTCGCTTTCTACTCCCTATATAAAATTTTCACACTGCCGTACTCTAACGGAACTATCTACTCTCTACTTTCATCTCTTCATCTATCGTATAAAATGACCACTTTAAGTCTGTTATTTGAAGCTTAGCATCTTCAACTATGTAAATCGTTAGTACTTCACGCAGAAGTAATACAAACAAAATATTTAAAGTACACCCAAGTAACAATTTTGTTTTTATGAGTGTTCTGGAGACCATGATTTAGACTTGTAGCATACTTTAAAACCTCGATAAAACTTGCAATGTTACTTGGGTATAGCTCTAGATGGGAACAATTATGCGAAGTTTCATGGAATTCAGAGAAGGAAAATCAAAATCGATTCTTCAATTGCCGTAGAGCTGCTCAACAGAAAACAATTTCTTAAGTCATAAGGGATGTTTTCATTGCAAAAAATTTAAAAAATGAGCGGAAAAAAGTTCAGAATTGTATTGCAATTTGTTGTTTGTCCATCAATTTACCATTTTAAAAATTTCAGAACAGTTAGAATGTTTGATAAGCTTTAAAATAAGCATGATTAGCGGCGCCGGTGGTGTAGTGGAAAGCGTGATTGCCTCTCACTCTAAAGGGCCTGGGTTCAATCTCAGTCGGCACCGCCGGGATTTTCTGAGGCATAAAATATTTAATCACGCCTTCCTTCGGAAGGGAAGTAAAGCCTTTGGTCCCCGGTCTATTAGCTGATGGGTCGATAGGTGGGGTCCAGGTGTGGGAGCTGCCTCCCTAGCGTCGGTAGCATTAGTACTCAGAACGGAAAAAAAGATCGACGGAAAACAAATCAAATAGGGTTTATGATCTAATTTCCGGCCTACTAAGCACAACCCGCGCTTTACCTCTCTTTGCTGAACGAGTTTAAACAAAAAATGTAATATTTCTGTCAAATATGACTTGCAAATTTATTTACCTTTCCATACGTACCGTTGGATTTGATATAGAGTCACAGATTGTTGATATATTGTCTAAAATCTAACACGGCTTCTTGATTCTAAATTCGTTCTACGAGTTTCAATTCCGTCCTAACGCATTGAAACGCCATTAGATTTTCTTCGTCCTACGGATAAACGTAGAAAAAGGGGATTCGCTAGGAGCGCTTCTTTTGTTTTGAGAACAATGAGCGTAAATATTCATATAATGCGCTCTAACAGGATTTATGTTGTAGCTAATGAGCTAGCGCATCGGAACAAACCTATTATTGATTTGTGCACGTTGAAATCATTGATATTATTGATCTTTTCTGATCGATAGAACGGAAATGGGCGATTACGACAAAGTAGCGCTCTACCCTAAAACAATATATAAAACATTTTTTTTTTCTTAAATGGCCATCTACAACTTTGTCTCAGAGGTCATTTAGATGAAACGAGACATTTTCAGGCTATGATTTATTGAAAAATATCGAATATGCCGTTTTGAAAAATGAGGAGCCTATGAAAATGTCCGAAATTTAGCACACATTTGAATGACTGCCATAGTGAGCAATTCAGTGCCAACATTTCAAAGGAGCGTAATTGCATTTGTAAACAATGGCTTTAGCCGTCAATTTCTCGCAAATAAAATTCACCAACAGGTAGAAAAATGTTTCCTCTACCAGCTAGCATTGTTAATTTGGAGGAGTGAGCTTTAATTTACGAGAAATCGACGGCTAAAGCCATTGTTTACAAAAGCAATTACGCCCCTTTGAAATGTTGGCACTGAATTATGAAAAGATTATGGGAAATCGGAGAGGGTAAAGTTTAAAAAATTATTTCCACTTTTTTGTCCTGGATTGTTCTGACTATGATAATTCAATTTATGTGTCACAATAAAAAAACTAAACACGATTTCGAATTATTCCAGAGATGAAACAGCCGACGGCTGAAAGCCTCTTTAATAAAGAAAGATAAGATAAGATAAGATTTCGAATCACTAGGTAACATTTATTCCAAATTTCACCATCTGATATACATTTCATAACTCAATATGAATATACGTCATTCCGTCGCCTTACATATTCATTATACTTCCTAGAATGGACAGCAAACCGCTATATAATGCAGACGGCTGCGTGATTTCCATCAGGTGTCCGATTCAGCAAATAACAGAAAAGTGTGAATTAAAGCTAACCCGGCTTCCCTCGCTCCCGGCAAACTCTCTTTTTTAACTTTTCGCCCGTCATCGTCACATTCCAAACTTCCGCATCTTAAGTGCACCCCACACGGCAGAAATGTTGTCAATATTTTTACGTCAATATTTTCAACAATAATTTTGATGGGTCATCAATACAGGGCTGCTCCTCATTAAGTTTGTTATATCCAATATGTTTACCCGTGTGGTGCCTGAATTATGTCGTCACTAAATGTGCGTAGGAACAGCTGTAGAATAAGTTTTAATCTTCTCTCAGGCTCACCTTATGGACTTTCCTTCTCCTTTGTCTTCCAGGTGGTAGGCAACAAGCACAATACTCTTATCTACGATATTAAAAGCCCCAGAGTCAGTAAACTTCAGACGCAGATTTCAACCGCATCGACAACCTCGACAGCGTCATTTGACGATGGTAGCTCCGCACAGCACCAGCAACAACAGCACAACAATAGCAACGGCAACAGTACCGGTAGCAGTAACACTAAAAATAATCATTCCCATCTACAACAGCAGCAAATTGCTCTGTTCGTGTGTATCGCCGGTAAAAGTGAGTCCCGATTGAGGTACCAATTCTACATCGAGGACACTTTTAGGTAAGTGATTTGAATTCGTTTGTTTGAGATTTTGTTTTCCAATGAGTTCATTTATTAAGGCTTAAATGGACAAAAGGACTCCAATCTTGGAGGCGAACCAGCCCAAGGCTGAAAGCCTCCTTAATAAAGCTAAATAATAATAAAAGGACTCCATGGAACCGATAACCAGTAAATAATTTTATAATCATAAAAAAAAGTATTTATGAACACATTAAATTAGTTTTTCAAGTTGGTTACCCATGTAAATAATAGTTTCGATAAAATTTTATGCAGTGGGGGCCTTGATAGGAGTGTAACCTAAATTGTGGTAAAAATTTCACTATTTTGAAAATCATCTTTTACTATGGTTCAATATCGTGCTTTTGAGAGTTGACTGTAGTTCGGATATCGATCATTTTTGCAGGGCACAGCCATTAGACAGTCCACCTCGTATGACTTGATCAAGTACGCTACCTGGTTGTATTCAATTTACCATTATGAAAGGGCAAAAAACGAAGGGTGGATCCGTAAGCAGAAACACTTACGCATGATCCACGGGAGCAAGAAGAATCTCCTTCCAATGATAAAAGTGTTCCAACCCAATACAGAACAAGCCATCATACGAGGGTATGTCCCAATGAGTGGGGAGAAGAGCCCACCTTCAATTCACGAAAAGTTACCACTCTCTCCAACCAAATCGCTTCAATCAGGTCCCATCCCTACCTAATTAATTTATAGGATATAAGAATATAATACTAACCATGATTAGCTGCTCAGTAAGCAAAACCGATCACTTCAGGGTAATCGAGTATCTCAAAAATATCTAATAGTAATTACCTGGGTTGTGATACTTCCTTCAACGAAAACAAATTTTCTTGCATTTCCATGGTCATCTGGTCTAAAATAGCTGGTCCACCGAGCACTGTAAATGAGCGGTTCGTACATCATTGAATCAATGTAGAGATTAGTATGAGATGGTGTTAAATGCAAAGTGCAAAAAAAGAATTAATGAAATACGAAAGGTATTAGTTTCAAGAAATGACAGTTTTATCGGATTCCCCAACTAACCATATTCAAGCAAAGCAAGTATATACAATCTATCAGTCATGGTATGATCATTAGAAAATTGATATTTTCCGCTCTCAAACGCTCTCAATATCACGCGTGATATTGGAGAAAAATATAATGCTTGATATTGATTTTACAAGCTCCTATGATATTGTGAGACTATTCACAACGTGTAAAGCTGAAGCCTTGATTGAATTTTTGAATTTATGGAAGCTTCGGTTGCGTTCAGGTGTAAAGCAAAACTCATGAAACTCAATCTCACCACTGTTTGGAGAGATTTTCAGCTGGTGAGTTTGGTTACCTTGATATTCCGAGCTGCGACATCACAGCTTGCAATGTCAAACGAAGTTGTGTGCTTGTTGATATGTGTCTACGAAAATCAAGCGTGATCTCTTGGGCTTTGGTGAGATTTGGTTTTTTGATAATTTTCCAACACTGCAATCTATATTGCGAATATATGGTTAATTACTTGGGTATTCATATGGTTGTCAGATTGGTTCATCGGTTGCGAAGTGAAGTATTTCTGAAAGTGATGCGTTATATTTCTCAATGATTTGATTTTATCCTAACGTTACGTCAATATTATGACACAGGCAAACAGACACAACACATAAAACATTTCTCATTGCAAACACTATCGCCATATGTCGTATACACTCAACAGATGACTGTAGTGTGTACACCACAAGTGGCGGTATTACCAACTAAGAAATATTTAAATTTACCGTTAAAAGCGATTTCTATGATGTGTTATGTCTGCTTGTTTATTATCATATCTCCACTATCGCAACTTCGGGTAATCCGCGAAAGTACTTGCATTTTTCTAAGGCACTTTTGATCTAACTACAATCACTCTCTCATACTCGAAATGTGCACCAAATTGGCACAACGACGCCCTGTATGCTCTCTGACCAAAGCGCAGGGCATTGGGCCTAGAGGGTGACATTCGGCCAGAAAAATGTTTATTGATGTTAATATCTTGTATATACAGAAAATGATGGCTAGAATATGTTTCTTGGACTCATGTAGTAAAGTGTAGATAGCATTAACCAGTTGTTTTATTTAAATAGTACTGTAAAGTTAATATACCACTTAGTATATAGCAAAAACACTTTTTTTTAATGCTCACAGGCAAACAAAAGTTGAAACACATTTTTATGTGGATAGACGGGGTTACACGCGATAATTTTTTTTTCCTTGATTTGTTTTCCGTCGATGATGTATTTCGTACTATGTACCAATGCTACTGACGCCAGGGAGACAGCTCCCACACATGGACCCTACCTATCGACCCATCAACACCGGGGACCAACGGCTTTACGTCCCTTGATTATGACTCAGAAAATCCCGACGGTGCCGACTGGGATTGAACCCAGGCCCTTTGGAGTGAAAGGCAGTCACGCTTACCACTACACCACTGACGCCGCTCCACACGTGCAATCTTTAGCCATACATACGATGTACATTAGACTGATGCAAAATTTGAAATTTTCGCTCCACAGTGCTTAAACGGTTCCAAATTGGGTCCTGATTAGCCTCCCAAAATTTGAACTACTTTAGTAAGAAACTGACTTGGCACAAACCATTTCAAGTTTATTTGGGAATTACTATGGGAAAACTTATGTTTTTGTTCATATGTATCTAACAATTCACCACATCAGTATGCTTTTAAATCAAAAGTAAGGAACAAAAGTTATTAATGATACAAGTCACTGATGTCTTATGATTATGCTCATTCAACTGTTCAGCAGGCAACATTGGTGTTTCTGGTGCGAAGAATAGATCACAAATATCATGGCTTCTATGTCGCACTGCAGAATACAGTGTTGCCCACAGAACAGCTGCTTGATCATGCCATAATATTATCAATCTCTTAAACAATTAATAACAATTTAATTTGACATTTGGCTGAAAACGATATTCCGCAAAGTTGTAGCTTAGAAAATTTACCGCAAGAATAGTTATAGAAATTTTTGAAAAAGCAATATTAAAATGTGTAGAAGACAATAAACAAAAAGTTGGGTTTTCCCATAGTAATTTCCATATAAACTTCGAATAGTTTGTGCCAAGTCAGTTTCTTACCAAATGAGTTTAAATTTTGGAAGGTTAATCAGGACCTGATTTGAAACCGTTTGAGCACTGTGGAGCGAAAATTTCAAATTTTCCATCAGTCTAATGTACATTGTGATCATTACCAAGTGTTCTCCTAATAGCTACATTATATTAACTTATTTTAAGATATTTTAACCAAATTTTTGTTTTGTCCCAATGTCACCCCTCATGGTCTACTTTTTATTTAATTTTAGTAAAATGAGATATCAATTTCAATCAACTAATTCCATGCCAGTCGTAAATATATAATTGATGAATATATCCACAAGCTTAAAATTGTTTTCCATGCTAAAATGGAGCCTTACAAGGGATCGACAAATTTTTGATTTTTTACCCATTTCAGTCACCCCCACTTCGGGTATGTCTTCCAGAAATGCGTACTAATGAACTTTTGGCGATCTGAATTTAATCTCAAATATTCTTAACAGTGGTTTATCCAGCATTTGTGTGGGGGGTGTTTTGTGAAAAGGACAATTTTTTTACTGAAATACCAGTGACATCCTGGGAATCGGTTCTGATAATTCCCCAAAAACGTTGAATCGTTTCCCAATTATATGGAAGCTAATTCGATTTCATGGGAAACAGCTAAAAATGGACAGTAAACATTTTTCCAGAAAAATGCCAAATAATATCATTCCCACTGAGATTTAATTTGTGAAGAACTGTTCGGAGATAAACCAGCCTCCTTAATAAACCTAACCTACACACTTAGAATTTTTTACAGAAATCTGTAAAATTTTACCGAAATCTCAACAGCAGCTCGGTAAACAGTTTCGCAGATTTCCTGTAATTTTTCACAAATATCTGTGAATTTTTCACAGATATCTGTAAATAATTACAGGAAAACTGTAAAATTGTTTACCGAACGTTCAGTTGTTGAGATTTCGGTAAAATTTTACAGAAATCTGTAAAATAAGCTTAGTGTGTAATATCTGAAGGACTATTCATAAATCAGTCACTCCATAGCAAAACGATATAGTGGTCTCAGAATTTCGTAAAAATGGGTAGTTTTGTTCCTTGTCTCAAAATATTAGACCCGCATTTTTTTCTCATTAGGGTAACCATGTTAGGGTCGTCAAAAAAAAAAGATTTTTTTTTCAAAAATCTTTAACTTTTGTGGGCCTATTTCAAAGATGTAAATATCAAATGAAATGTATTTAAAAATAAGTTAAAAAAATATATATTAAAAATTGGGTTTTTGTATTGCAAAACATTTATTGTTATTTATGGTTTTTATGGTTAGTAGGATGAGGGCGCAATATGTTTTTATATTTTTCCTTGAAAATGTAGGCTTTTTTAAACATCATTTAAAGAAAACAATGATGTTTTTTTTTTTCGTTTTCGAGTTATATATTTTTTGAAGTTATCAAGCTTTGGGTTTTCGCTCAATACTCCTATGCGACTAGACTACCATGCGCCTAAATTGATACATAGCTAACATAGTCACATAATATATTCCAATTTTATGCTTCTGCTGTTATACGCTTATAGGTTATCAAAAGTTATGATTTTTTTTAAAAAGCCAATTAAATTCGCATACTTCAAAAGATTGGTCAAAAAATACATACTAACATTCCTGAAGACACCATTTACCTAAAACTAATGGCTTAAGCGCAAACATTTTTGTCTTCTTAAATACGGCTTTGTGACCATCGTGCAATGTATGAATGATGATGGGTAAGTGTAATCATGATTCAGTGGTGGCATTCATGTCCAATGTTCGTTGCCCGACATCAGAGTTCAAAATAAATAAAAAGGTCAACAGTTTTCATCCCTTTTCCCTCACATTCATTTGAAGGGAAAGGCAATGCTTTTCTAATGACGTGATTTAATCGGGTCTGAAAGTTTTCTTGGTTCGTTCAATTCTATGAATATCATTATGACGTTCATTTGCAAATGAAAGGATAGCAACTAGTTCGTCTGATCAGAAAGGGTATTGCCCAGTCCTGGTGTTGATTAATTGCATAACTGATGAGCAGTTCCTCGCCAAGTAACGAATCGATCTGACCTTCTCCGATTTGCATAAAACTTTGCATAGTTGTTTGCTATGGTCAATAAATCACATTTGAGCAAAAATTCTGCCATTTTGAATCTTGCAAAAAGGTTTAAAATTGGGTATTCAATGAAGTAATGAAGTTGTGTTGTTAGCAGAATGCTTAAATAAAACAGTAAAAAAGGTTATCTACCATTTAATTCCACTTATTTTATTTATTTATTTTATTTATTCCACTGGAATTAAATTGAAGATAATATTTTTTACTGTTTTATATGTGTAACTCCTTTCCAATCAAAATTGCGTATGAAACAAAGTTATAAGAATTTTCCTTTTCAGGAAAGTATACACGGTAAAAACATTCAAGGAATTTTAAGTAAAAAATCCACAAAAGCAATTAAAAATTAAATAACATAAAATTAACCGCTTCATTTAAAAATAAAAAAAATTTTTTTTGGGAAAATAGGAAAATGCTAATTTCTGTGAAATTTTGAAGTTTAAATTAACAAAAATCACAAATCATCAACTTTTGGTCAAATTTATAAACTTTTTACTTTTTACTGAAATTACTGACCATAACAACCAATTACGCAAAGTTTCCTGCAAATTGGAGAATGTCGAGTCTGAAATATTTGTTTAATGTTTGCATTTGGCCTGGAAATGCTCTGCGTTATACTACCGGCCATTTATTGAAAGGAAACCCAGAAATGACCATATTAATTAATATTGTACAACTTTGTTGTTTCATTGCAGATACGTGCTCGGTCACCTGCTAACGGCTTTCGATTTGTTCGAGGAAAAGCGGGTACGTTATCAGTGTCAGAACCTGCTACAGGTTGCCCGACGGTTACTAGGCAAAATAGGTAAGTTAAGTTCATTTGACAGTTAATTGAATCAGCTCATTATTGTGACAAACACGGGTGATAAAGTGCAAACAATGTGCATATACGGGTCGATTAAATTTGGTTCTTTTTCAATTAATATTCCATATCATCGTTATCAGGTGGTTGGGTGTCATCGAGTCGTGAATTGGTTCTGTGATTATTTCACATCGTTAGTGGCAGTCAGGCTACGAGTGTGCTAATTGAGACGAATTTAATTAGTGTATTCATTTGGTAGGTACCAGCCTCATAGCCTAGTCAGTAAAGGCACGGTATTACCAAGCCGGAGGCGGCGGGTTCGATTCCCAGTCCGGTCGAGGAAATCTTTCGGGTTGGACATTTTCTCGACTTCCCTGAGCATAGAGTATCATTGTGCTTGCCACACAATATACAAATTCATGCATTGGTATTGGCATCGAAAGCTCTCAATTAATAACTGTGGAAGTGCATTTAGAACACTAAGTTGAGAGCACGCAATAAGCTAATATGCGCTAAACAATAAGCTTGAAATGCGAACAAGAAGAAGAAGAAGAAGCATTGAGTTGAACGTTTTAATATGACAATAAATCGTGAAAATTAAAGATCAGTGAAAAGCAATATTTAACATTTACATCGTACAAATTAAATTCTTCTCAAACTTAATTGTAACAACTTTGAAACAAAATTCTCCCGATGCCAATCGAGTTTCCGGGGCACTAGAATTTAATAATTTAAATTTTGAGGAATCCTGATGAATGTGGGCGTCTTAGTTGGAATACCTGTATAAAGAGAGAGAGAGAGAGATAAAGATTAGTAGATTAGGGAAATAACTAATCTTTCTCTCTCTCTCTCTCTCTTTAAATTGATCGTTATTTCATTTAATTCGTCAAGAGTCGTAGAACAGTACGAATTGTGTCTGGAAAAATAATAATATAGGTATAGGTAGAGGATAACGCAGACGAAATCCAAATTGAATGAAATTCATAACGATTAGCACGCATTTCGTGTTTCTCTTTAATCGGTTCCTGTGTTTTTTCCTAATTTGATCCGTCAAACGACAAACGATTTTCGCCTCAGTAACGAGCACCGAGGACTTTATTCCAGAAACGTGCTTAATTGGCTGAAAACTAAGCTCTTCTCCGCTTCCCTCCTCTTCACCAAAACGGTCAATAGCTTCTTGCGAAAAATAATAATATTAGCGGAAGTGAAAAGAAAAGCGTCGCTTGAAGTAGGTACCAACCTCTCCATTCCTCCCTTATTGATTTGAATGAATTATGGGTACGCTGGCTTTATTTGATGGAAACAATGTTGCTCCGACCCGTTACACACCTACCGGTCATCATCGAAGTGAATACGAAAGGGAAGCGGTATTTACGCGTTATCTTTTTGCTTCTCCAACCGGAAACACGTCCTTGTTGATTTTTCGGAGACCGCTTGTCTGTCACAGGAACAACACTACCCACGTTGCTTGGGTGGACGATGGATGGGTTTATTTTATCGATTCCAAGTTTTATTTGCCAAGGATATTATGTTTGATTCCAATCCGCTCATGTTGGCATGGCGGGTAAATTGTTTCCGCTGTTGGAAGGCGGGATTCCCGTTTTTATTCGTGGCATACGCGCCCGTTCCATCCGTCTGGACTAAATGCCTGGCAGAGTAATTACTTACCAAGCGTGTACTATAGATCATCGCTTTCGGTGGCTGTCCAAGGTGGTTGGATGAGCCATAAATTGAATATCCCTTGTGTGCCAAGCTTGGGAAATTTTATTTTATTCTCAAACGATGACTGCCCATTCCAACTTACTAGTTTTGAAACTATTTCGACGTAGTCGTAAATCATGTTACATTGTTGCATTGACGCGCTTGGGATATCAGTGGATTCATGTTAGCTAGTGTTCTTTCAGGACTATAGAGGTAGGGAAAGGAACTTGAATGTTAAGCTGAGGGCAGACGTAACGATTCAGTAATAACGTAATAACCAGGAAAAATAAAAGATAGGGAAGTTTGAGGTAGATTGATCTGAAATTCCAATTGTTGTTAATGTAAACGTTTGAGTGAGTGCACCCAAGTAGGAAATGTAAGATTTTATTACAGTTTCGCATGAAAAGAATGCATAATTTGCAATGTTTCGTGACATGAACAGCTTCTATGAAATGATCCGCGGAGGGTTTTCAAAATAATATTGTAATTTTTATGTTGACTTATTTTTCGAAAAAAAGTTTGTTTCCCCGAATGCATTGTGTCTAGAAAACCATCTCGTGCAGGTTTTATACAAAAATATGCATTCTCGAAAAACTTGCTTGCACGCTCAATTTTCGAATATGACCAAACTACCACCCTTCAGGACATCCCTTCCCGTACAGAAAATAATCATGCACCTAGTCACCAAGTCCAACCAAGTCAAGAAATCGAAGTACTACGCAAAACCACACTTTGTACACTTTGGTAACATACGACCTATCCAAAAATGATGTTTTTGTTTTTGCATCATCCTTTTGCCGCCTTGTTTTGTAAAAAAAATAAACTGTCTATATCTCTTTTCACCGTATGCGTGATAGGGGGATGTTTTTCAGAGTCTTAAACTATGTTAATCATCGATCGAATTTCCACTTGCTGCAACTACGGCCTCCACACGTTTCCGGAACGCACGGCAGGTTCTAATAATGTAGTCTGGATCCATTTCTCTCCAGGTACGTGTCAATGTTTGTCTGAGGCTTGGCCTTCATGACGCGCCATATTGAGTAATCCAGCGGATTAAGATCGGGGCTAGATGGCGGCCACATATCCTTCGCCCAGAACGGAAGATGTTCCTGCAACCACTTCTGAGTGCGGTTCGAAGTGTGGCACAGAGCTCCATCTTGTTGAAATACAACATTTGGCTTCGGACCGTACTGTTCTTTGATCCACGGAAGAACATACTTACTTAAAATCCCGATGCAGACCTCCGTGTTGACCTTGTCGCCTTCTGGAATGAACACCGGGTCCATTTTTTGCCATCGGAAGCCACCAATCCAAACACCATAACGCTAGCAGGATGCTTGGTCAGATACACGTTCTTGTGCTCGTCGGCGACGTCTTTTGCCGGAAGAGAATTAATATACCGGTCGGTTCTAGAATTTGATACGGGATCGACGGCAAACATGCTCTCGTCGGTGATCAGGATTACCGGATTTTTTCGCTTAAGGAAGTTCAATATTTTCTTGCATCGTTCGACTCGTAGCTCCCGGATGCGGTTGGTAATCATGTGAGTTTTTTTTCCGTGCCCTCGACTTCGCCCCGCAATCTTCCTTTACGATCTTCCGTACCGTAAAGTTACTGATCCCGTGTTCCTTTGCCATTTTCTTTATTGAACGCACTGGATTCACCCGAATCTTCCTTAGGATAGCAGCGATAACCCTCGGAACCCGAGCTGACCTCGGACGACCTGTGGCCACCTTCGCGCATAGTTGTCCTTTCTTTTCTCGGTCTAAAACCCTTTTGACGGTCCACCGGGACACTCCCACGGCGATTGAAATGTCTTTTTGCGACATTTGCGCGTGGGACAAATCACAAATACGCTGCCACTTCGTCATGGTGCAACTGTCAAACTAAGTAAATCATTTTCACACAGCCTACTACGGCATTGTATGCACAGGTGAAACGGCAACCTTATTTGTACGATGGTGCAAACATTATCACGCATACGGCTCAAGAAGATATAAGGTAACTGATGGCTTCGGCACCCATTGACTATTCTTGTCAACCAAAATTTAAACGTTAATCTCGCTGCATTTTCTCACCAAAACACTTCGCTGAATGTATTTAAACGATTCCTTAGTCTTTCAACAGCAATCTGATTACATTCTTACGACTGAGCAAACCTGTTTTGCCAGGTTGTTCTTCAAATTAAACATGCGTACTAAAAAATACGGCTGATTTCGAGTTACCGATAATAAAGCAGTTGATTCACGCGCAGTTCAAATGGAAAGGTTGCCGAAAAAAGTAGAAGGGTCTGTGCCTAGGGGCACGAACGGAAGCTTGACGTAGGACCGCTAGTGGACGGAACAAATGTGAACATTTATTTCTTTTAATTGATCAATAATCAATTATCTTAACTCTTTCCGTTTTTTATTTTAATCGTATCAAATTTGTAGTATTTATTTCAAAGAGAAAGTTGATGAAGAGAATCCAAGGGACTGTCATCTTGAGTATTTTCGATTCATCTACCCGACTTTAAAATGCGTATTTTAATTTTTTTGTTATATATGAATTTTTAAGTTTTGTGCATTTTGGTATTAAAGTGTATTCAATTACCCCTCACAGGATTTCCTTTCGAATTATAAGAATGGGGCGGGGCGGAAAGTATCGTTTGTGCAGAATATGTAAAAAAGGAGGGACTTCGAGAGATTGAACTCGTGAGAGCTAATTTTCTCACAAATTTGATGTTATTGGCTTTCTGGGGACTGAATATACACCCAAAGCGAATTATTCCCACTTCTCTCAAATTCTATATGGATTTTTAATACTTCCTACCAGCGTGTTCTGGAAAATGGTCGGACGATGATTAATGTCACCAATACATTCGGGCCTACAATACCTTATATAGAGACCAGGTTGAGCCTTGATAGCTAGCTGCTTATGGGAACTGATCCGTGTTCAACACGGATGAGGCTGTCGAGCTGTATGTCGTTTGGAGCGCGGGTGACACACTTGGCATAGATGACCGACCCGCAGCGACTCACGAAGAGCTACTGATTCCGATCCATAGCATAGCGGTACAGCTTCTTCCTCCTTTGATGGTTGCTTATGTGGGCTCTACAGCTCGCTGCTTGCAGGCAGCCTTTCGTTGTTACTGGAGAACAATTTTCAATGCCACACGCCGAAAGCACTGGTACTTATGCTACTTATTTCGACGACCGAACACCACCACCACTGCAGTGGTGTGGTCGTTGGGAGCGTGTGGTTCGGAGTATGGGGATGAGTGTGCAAAATATTACTCAATTCCATCCTCCCTATTCGCACGC